CAGTTCCAGTGTTTCCGGCGTTTCATCAACATCACGAAAATACCACCGAGGTATCTGGATATTAGGTAGATCACATAGTTGCCTATACCATTTGTTCCACTTGTCTTGCAATTCTGGTGGGATAATTTCATCCCAATCAACACCTTTCAGCCATAAATCCCGGAACAGAACTTTTGCTTGAATAACATATGGAGCAAGAAACCCAACAGGATCGAAGATTTTTGAAGCCGCTTTCAAAACACAACGTTTTATTTGGTCTTTTGAGAGGATGAAATCAATAATGTCTTGGGCATTAAAACAGAAAATATCCTTAATTGTATCCCATTGAAGACCAAGAATCTTTGAGGGAGAATCACAGTCAGGCAGTTTAAAGCTAACGAAGTTGTTACTTGATTTGTACTATGGTTCTTTTAAAGTATCCGAATTGGAATTCCATTTGGTCAGAGTCATTGATGCCCTTTTCATTACATCATTGGCTTCATGATATCCACAGCTTCTTCCTCCGTATCTTATCCACAAATAAAATCGCCAACGTACATGAAGTTTTCTAACATTTCTACCTTAAGCTGATTGTCAATCACTTCTTTATATTGCGCATAAATGTTCAAGTTTGATTTAAATTGTTCGATCAGATTTAAAAACCGTCTTTCAGCATTCTTAAAATTGTCACATAAAAGTCACATTCTCATCTTTTCCATGGAAGTCTAACTTCGTATCTATCACCTTTTCTGTAATCGAGTTGTTAAATATTTGCAAGGCCATTTCATTTTGTTCTTTATCAGAAATATTTTTTATTCCTATAGATTCAATATCCCAAAACGATTCGACGCTTTTTAGAAGTTTCTCTTCTACACTTACGTTTAAACAAGCATCATGGATTTGAAAGTCTGATTAAAATCTGCCTTGTATACACCACCCAAATAAGGTTTTCATCGCTACGGCATTTTTGTTTATCCTTTTTATTTCTTCGCTCGCAATTTTCCACATAATTTCCGCACCGATTAAAGCAGAAATATCACTCATTCCATCGGCGTTGCCGCAGTCTGTCAAAGTGACGCCGAATGCTTGGAGGTTGGACTTGATTTCGACATCTGTACCCGTATATTGGCATTTGCTATGACGGGTACTTCAGTGACTTCGATATTTATGCATTTTTCAGGGTCGTTAATATTTCGGAGAGTAAATTCAACCTTCTTTCGACGCAAGAGTTACCCGTTCGTTTCACTGAAAGTATGCAGATTAAAAAAAGTTTCTCCTTTACTGGTAACTGTAATTTTCTTGATAAATCTTCTCGAATTGCAGAGATTTGGCTACCGCCGTCAAGAAGACATCTCACAATACAATTCTTATTTCTGCCCTCAGCCACAGCATACACCGTTTGAAGCATAATATTAGATCCAGTTTTGGCAGAAGAATTTTGAACAATTTCTGCCGATGTTTCGGTTTCCTTATTTTTTACACTGGAGACAGCTGATGTGGGATTTACACACACACTTTCATGATGTTTACCGCGGCACTTTTTGCAGGAAAACTGTTTGTTCTTACAGTTGATAGCTAAATGTTTACATCCAAAACACAGAAAACATTTTCCTGTACGTTTCAAAATGTTGCGTTTCTCTTCAGAGTTCACCTCAGTACATTTATATCTCGTATGGTCTTCTTTATCACAAAATATACATTTGTATCCAATTGTTGATAAAGCTGAAGCAGTCGGAACTTTCGTTTTATAATTCGGATAAGCTTTCGTGCGTTGTTCATTTTGACGAATGTATGGTTTCTGATTTCTTTTCGCAGAGTTCATTAAACTTGCAGCTTCTCGACAATTAACTTCCTTACTAATTCAGAAGTCAAACAACAAAAATCAGCGTTATATTTACAAAATTTTCACAGGACTAGTTTCGATGTGTTTTTACTGAACCACCTTCCTCAGCTGCAAAACCGCAAATGAACAAGATAGGAAAAAATGATTAGATAAGATAAGAAAGCCAATAGTTAATATTTCTAATGTTAGTCTTTCAGAAGAACAAGAGAGAATTCTAAAATATAATTTTAACTTCTCACAAACCTGTAAAACCCTCGATTCCAAAGATTTGGCTCCTATCGAAAAAAGCTTTCAAGTCAGTAAAGTTTCAGATTCACAGAAAGAAAATGATTAGGCATCTTATCGCTCATAATGTGAAATTCAATAATAAACCTTTGAAACCAAATCTAACTGCGAGAGAAAGAGCTACAATGCGCGAAATTCATTCTAACCCGGATAATCATTTCAAAGGCCGACAAAGGTGGCCAGATAGTCGTCATGGATAAGAACACTTACATCGATGGTGTCACTAAACTCTTAAACGAAGGACCATATAATCCGATCCCTAAAGATCCTTCAACTTCCGACTTGTCAAAATAAAAAACTGCGATCAAATCTTCTCAATCATTTCAAGCAACTTAAAACATTCGCTATCCCATCTGTAGCGAATTGTGCCAGATTATAGCTCTTCCCAAAATTCATAAAAAGTGGTATTCTTTCCGCCCTATTGTATCAAATTTAGGTACAGCCTCGTATACATTAGCTAAATATTGGTTCTAGATTTTCCACCTTAGACAAATAACATTACACCATAAAAAAATTCAATGTAAAAAAGGTTAAAAACATTTCTCCTAGTAATTTACTCAGGTTTTTTGATGTAAAAAATCATATCACCAATGTCCCAGTGGTGGAGGGTGCATTAATATTCTAGAAACCAGACTTCGCGAATTTCATTTCTCTTGCATCGAAATTGATGAGCTAATTTCTTCACTCAATCTGTTTGAAACAAACAATTTGTTTTCGAAAATAAATATTACAAGCAAACTGAGGGATTAACCATGGGAAGGCCCCTCAGTCCCATCTGGCTGATATATACATGCATTATTATGAATCAAAATTGTTTGAAACTTTAAACTTCTCGGCTCGTTCCGCTACGTAGACGATACTTTTTTACCCTGTTTGAAGGTAATAAAGATGATTTAAATAAGTTCTTCAACAATGAATTCTATTGATCCTGCTATTCAGTTCCCTTTGAACTTGAGACTTGCAATCTCTTTCCGTTCTCAACATTCTGGTCACACGTAACACATACAACTTCAGTACTACGTTACCGTAAACCTTCATCGTTTGCTTTCCACTACACTTTAAATCATGTCATCCGACTCAAAAAGTTAGCTTCATTTTATTCCTATGTTTTCCGACTCTTCAAGTTTGCTCCTCCAAAACTAGCCCTTGATGAAGAACTAAATTATTTAAAAGCAAAGCTATTGACAGGGGCTTTTCACCCAACATATAATCAAGCAGTTAAAAAATTCTCATCTCAACCACCACTAAAAGGCACACTCTTGTTTTAGGAGATTATAAAAATTCTGTTGTCATTCTCTTCTTTCCATCAATTAGCTAAAAGTTGCACTATTTTGCCGGAAATTAACTTTCGGGTTGTTTGTTCTCCCATCAATAAAATTCCGAGTTCCATACTTAAAGGACCCATTCCGGATATGAATTCCTGGGGTATTTATAGGATTCCTGCCAGTGTGGTTTAATTTACATTGGCCAAAATAAGAGAGCCTTAAAATTCGCGTCAAGGAAAATGAGGCTATGTAGAAAAAAGGAAACACAGAAGTCCTCCTTTGCGCAACATTGTTGGTCCGAAAATCACACTTTCAATTTTTGCTGCAAAATTATTCAAAAAACATCTTCCATTGGAGAACTGGATTTTTCTAGAGGCATTTCACATTCATAAAAATCTTTATGTTCTAGTTAACGATCCTTTCCAATCCAAATTTGCCTTCGGCCTTTAAAGAAAATTATGTTTTGTTCTGGTTTCACCAACAGATGGCGCCACTTGCTTTTCTTCTCCAGGCTTCTTATCTTATCTAATCATTTTTTCCTATCTTGTTCATTTGCGGTTTTGCAGCTGCGGAGGATGGTGGTTCGGTAAAAACCATCGAAACTAGTCCTGTGAAAATTTTGTAAATATAACGCTGATTTTTGTTGTTTGACTTCTGAATTAGTGTTGATTCGGCGTGTTATTGTGTCTTAATTAACTTCCTTTTTTACGAATTCTATAAGTTCCTTTATATCAAATTCTGCTTCCTTTTTTCGACTTCGATTAAATTCCAAATTTAATTCCTCTGGAAATTTCTGTAAAATGATAGGACAGAAAATATTTCCATAACTTCCAGAAGTAACGTTTAACGATTCTAAACTTTAAATGTTTATTTCGCATTCATCGTACAGGTTACGCAGTCTTTAACATTTCATATGTTCCCTACTGGTTCAAGATATAATAATTTATTCCTATGCGAAGTGATTTTTATTTATTTATCACCACTGAGCAGGCTTCTGACCTAAGGTGTATACCAAGTAGAATAGTGCCTGCTCAGCAGGAGATCAAGTACAATATAACAGTCACCACTACTAGGGTAGGGCTGTACATATTTTTTAACAAAATCAGACAGTACCTACAGTAGCAGTATTTCAAAAACAAAGACATCTTGCATTCATATGCTACATATAATTCAGGGTTATAAGTGATACTAATATAATAAAAAAAAGTTGCTGAATAAATTTTACAAATACTTAATATAATAAAAAAAAAAAAAAAAAAATAAAAAAAATAAAAAATAAAAAATAAAAATAAATACAGGAAAAGTAGTATAAATAAAATGAATAAATATATGCAAATAAATAAACGTAAATATAAATAAAAATAAATACATGAATGTATAAAAAGTAAAAAAAGGGATTTATACAAAGATTATACAACGATTACTTAGATATTTGATGAGTACGAATGTCGCTATCGTATGAGTATTACCTAGTGATGATTGTGAACATCTTCTTTGCAGAATGTAATATTTAGTCTATTAGTAAGAGCTCCCTTAGTTTTAATAGGTGTGAAGTTCATTGTTCCCATTGATCAAATGGCTTGGTCAAGTGAAAAGGTTTCGTAAGACAGCAGGAAAAGGCATAATTATCATGCAGTTCTTTGCAGGCCACAATCACAAGTGTCCAGTTCTGTAATAGCAAATCGATGAAGATATGTTATGAAAGGTCCATGGCCTGAAAGAAAGGTTGTCAATGCAGAAGAATATGTAAGCATCTTCGTAGGGACATGGGGACAAAAACGGAAAGTCCATCTTCCCGTTGTTGCAATATTCCATCTGGATTGCCAGTGATTCATTAAGTGCTTATAAATAATCCTTTTAAGATAAGAACTTGGCAAGGGCAAGGGATATTCCACCAAGTTAAGGCCAGTTGCTGCTTGCTTGGCAAGTTCGTCCGCAAAATCATTGCCAACTATGCCCGTATGTGCTGGAACCCAGGATAACCGTGGACGAAATTCTGACATTATGTTGAGAAGTAATTTTTGAATTTCTGCGACTAGCGGATTTCTGGAATTTATACCACCAATTGCCTTCAAACTAGATAGAATGTCACTGCAAATATGGGCTTGTGTATCGAATGTATAGGAGAGTTGAATAGCTTTATTTATTGCTGTCAATTCAGCTTGGAAAATTGAGTTATGATTACTTAATATTCTTTTCCAAGTGTGTTTCACAATATCATTTAGCATGACACACAGACCACAGCCTGTGCCTAATTCAGTACGCGAACCATCTGTGTAAATGGCAATCCCGTGAAATGGAAACTGAGGCGATCTAGAGGAAATATAAGAATCTAGATCATTATAGGAAGGGTGTCAAAAATAATCTGAATATTTTGTCTCGTAGTCTAAAGCTGAAAAGTGAATATTCCATAGAGTGATATGTTTTTTCAGTCGTAATATGCAGGAATGTATATTTCTCGCTCCGCAGTTAGGTCGAGAGGAGGAATACCAGTTATTACTTGCAGGTCTGCTATCGACGTTGTGCGGTACCCCCTACTGATTTGTAGAAGAGGCATTCTTTGTATGGAGAGAAGTTGACGGCGTTCATGTTTAGTTAGAGAAGTTACCCAGACACCAGTACAGTACAAAATGATTCTTTCTGTGACTGTCTGATACCAAATTTTTAGTAAGGAAGAAGAGACACCCCAGGTTTTAACCGTAGTCCGCATCATGTTATTATTCAAAATTCCAATTCGATTCTTAATATTTTTCAGGTGCGGCAGCCAAGAAAATCTTAAATTGTGAGACCTAAATACTTGACTTGTTGAACTACCTTAATAGAAGTGCTATACAATTTAATTGTGGGCTTTCGTTTAAGAGGGGCTACAATTCCTATTGTCATAGCTTGAGTCTTAAATACTGAAATAGTAATTTTGTGATCTCTAGCACAGTTGCTGAACTTTTCAAGGCAATATTGTGCTGTTGGTTGTAGTTTTGATTTTCCGTTTACAATAAGAATAAAGTCATTTGCATATGCTATGTTAGAACAATTGGGTGTATTTTTGAACTCTTGGAGTAATGAATTTGCGACCACTGTCCATAAGACAGGACCTAAATATGAGCCCTGAGGGCATCCTCGATGCAATTTTTGAGCAACAATTCCAGAGTCTAGAGTAACTTGAATAGAGCGCTCTTGGAAATAGCTTCTTATGAGGTCTACGAGATCGCCTGGACACTCCATAGTGACCAAGGCATCAAGGATGTCTGGCCCCCACAGAGAGTCACAGGCTCCTTGAATATCTAAGCTAATAATGAGAGAGTGAAGATTCTTTTCTCTGTTGGCTCGAATAACTGAAAGAAGACTCGAAATTGCATGTTCTGTTGATTTGCCTCTAAGAAAACCAAATTGCGATGGGTCCACAACATTATTACGAAATAAGAAGTATTGTAATCTACCCAGGATAACGCGTTCCAGGAGTTTCCCAAAAGCTGGGAGAAGACATATAGGACGATAAGAAGATGCTTGGACAGGGTCCTTGCCTTTCTTGGGAAATAGTACCACTTCTGCTCTCTTTGTATGTAAGTCTGCTCTCTTTGTATGTAGGGAGTCGGAGTCTCCAACAAGTATTTATAAATAATACAATAAGGTCCGGAGCAATTTTAAAAAGCATTTGAATGATAGTATTGTCTATGTTATCGGGCCCTGACGCCTTTCTCGGTTTAAGGTGTTTTATTATCTTTGCCAATTCAGATTTATTTGTAGGAGGTTCAGTAGACTGCCTATATGAATCATAGTTATTAAATTAGGCTCTCAGTTTTGATTGTTGTGCTGTGTCATCAGCTGGTGGATCATTCTTGAAAAGGAATGAAAGAACGAATTTTATTGTGTCTATTGGTGACTCAGCCATTGGGAGTATTTCTGCTGGTAGAACTGTGGGCCTGAAGATCTTATCTGTGTCGATTTTGAAAGTTGTCTAGTAGATGTCCACTGTTTTTGTGCAAATTGCAGCCAGTAATCTTGCTTGGCAGATGCAATTTTTCGTTTAAAAGCAGATTGTGATTTTTTATAGTTAACAAACAGGTCACGACGAATAGCAGGGTCAGTTGTTGCTTGTGCTTGTCTTCTGAGTTTTCGTAAATTTCTACGATCCGTAGATAAGGTATCAGACCACCAAGAAATACCAGTACGTGTGTGAGTCTTTTTAATTCGAAATGTTTGTCAACATGCTATCTTACAGCATACTATCAGTTGGTTGTAGACGTTGTCGAAATCTGTAGTTGAATTGCATACTCTAAGATTCTTGGTGAATGTGTCTATAAAAGGAAAAAAGTGCCTCTTTAGTTTTGTATTTCGACAATAGAAAGTTTTGAAGCGTGGTTTGAAAATTGCAGTGAGGGTGGCATGGAAACTAAAAGTAATAGCATTATGATCACTTAAAGTGCTAAAGTCATGGACTGTCCAATCTTGTATTATCGGTGCTAGGTTAATAGTTGAAAGTGTGAGGTCCGGCCAGCCTTTTGCACGAAGAGTATCAAAAGTTGGTGGAGAATCAGTAACATTTAGAATCACCAAGTGATTAGATTCAATGAAATCTATTAGTGGAGCTGATCTTGAGTTTTCTGATGTTGCACCCCATAGCGAGCTTGATGCAATGAAGTCTCCTCCTAAGATGTAATTTTTGGATGGGATTGCGATTATTCAATTATGGCAAAGCACACGAGGGCTATCTGCCTAAAGGGAGGGATGCCTTCGTGGAGGACTTTCTAAGGGAAACTGGCTCGTATACACGTTACACATGGGGAAAACCACGAAAACGCCCATGCAGCCAGCCTGTTCGCGGGATTCGAACATCGGACCGAACTACCAGTATTCAGCGTCGTTACCGCTCGGCCGCTGGTGGGCCGATGTAATTTTTGAATGAGCATAGTTTAAGGTAATCTAGTTCAAATAGTAATAAGTTCCGATTTGCAGACGTGGTAACTTCACTGCTTTCGCTTCATCTTTAAGTGCAACATTAGCCATTTCGTTCTGATGAACTGTTCTAGAAGATTCCGAATTCTTTTTCAAAAATCGTTGCATTCTTCCTCTTCATATAATAGTTTTATCCTGGTATGCTTGACTTAGCGTAACTTCATTTTCAATCTCCTCCGAAGTTACTTTCGTTTCGATTTCTGAATCTAAACTTTTCAGTTCGTTGATTTTTTTCAATTAACTGTTCATATAAATCCTCGATTATTTCATTTTTTTCCTTTAGCGGAACATTATTTGCTAAATTCGTTTCGACTTTGGTTATCAGTTTCGTAGTTAATTGTCTTACAACCGATCGTTTCTTTTTCAAATTTTCAAGAACGCCCTCCATTTTCGAAATATTCAGTCTGTCGATTTTTCTGGTTCGTAACAATCCCGGTTTGGAGGCACCATAAACAAAATATATGTAAGTCTCTAATAAATCAGACTGGATCGAATGTAAAGTAATAAACAAAGAGCGTTATTCCACACAACTTTTATTGACGAACACCAAAGACAAACTGATACATATACATAAATATGACATCACAGTTTTTTTTACAAACACTACCGCCATCTATTGGCAATTTAAGGATACATAGTCATAAACTTAACAGCTGGTGGATCTCTTTTACTCCGTTTGAGACAAAAATCGACCACTCCCATTCTGGAATCCACCAAAGCGCCACCATGGAATCACACCAGAACGTAACTTTTACTTCAGGCAGATCAAGAGCTAACCTATGAAATGTGCTAATCTAGCTCCTATACAACATGACTTTAGTTCTAATTTAGGTATCGACAGTTCCTTGAGTAGTGCAACTCTAGATTTAACTCGTAAACGACGAATTTTGACACCAAGAGAAACTTCTGTGCGCGGCAGTTTTACCAGATAATTTGAAAATGACTTTTTCATGTTATCTGGTAAGTGTCTATCCCAGTTCAGTTTATTTCTCCGTGTCTCCTGCATTAATAGCTTTGGCAATAAGGTAGCAAGCCAGAGAATTCTGAGTGGAACGAATATTTGCTGTATCAAAGACAAAATGTCTCTCTTTGTCTGATTCGGTTTAAATTCAATTGTAGGTACCAAGCATCTCAGAGTATCTCGATCCAGATTCCATATCATTCCCAAAAGAGAAGTATCGCTAGAAGATTTGCAAATATGCGAACTACGCATATTACTTTTCCAGTTTCTTAAATTAAAACATGCATTTTTCAGTAAACTGTGAGCTCGAGGGACAAATTGTTCCAATTCATCTAAATTAAACACTCCAGTGACACAGTTATCGACACAAAATGAATGACGAAGTCAATAGGCGACATCAGAATATTCTCCAGAGGCATATCTAACAAATGATTTAAAGATGCCATAAGGAGAAAAGGACTTGTAACCCCAAAAACTACTCTACAGTGTCTATAATGCATTTCTTCAGTTTCCGAAGAAAAAAAGAATCTGAGAAAGTTTCTGTGTCGTTGATTAATACATAATTGTAAGATGTGGTCTGATGTTTGTTAGGCACTGACCCTATTTCCAAACTTAATTGTAAGAAGGTGTTTTCATTGTCCGACGATAATCCTATGGAATAAAACCTAAATATATCTATTGTATCGGGGATTAACTCAATTAGGTTTGGTCCTTTAATCAAAAGATCGTTTAAGAATGGCTGATTCGCGTCTTTCGCTGAGGCATCAAAAACTAGTCGAATTTTTTAAGTTAGGCTCTTTTCTTTAATTACAGGGCGATGCGGTAAATAGTGTCCGAATTCCTTTACGCCGTCATCTTGAACCTTTTCGATAATTCCTAGCCTTTCCCATTCCTTAAATACAAAAATGTGATCATCTAGATATCCTTCATTGGAGGCGCGTTTACACATTTTCTCATGTCTTTCCAAAGTCATTTCTTTGTTATTCGGTAAAATGGTCTCATTCTTGAATGGTAACGGTACCTCATACCTTCCATTAGGAAGAATAGTCAAATTATTTTGGAATTGATACATTGCATCAAAAAACATTAATTTCTGACTTGTATTTTCATTTGGATCACTGATACCAATAACATCAAGATCCCATAAAGATTTCAAAGAAGCATTATTTACATGTAGGGAAAGACTTATTAGAGCATTATCGCTAACAGTATCATTTTTTTTGCCCATAACCGTCCAACCCAGTTTTGTTTTGACTGCAGGTAAACAAGAGGGTAATTCCAGATATTCGTCAGTTAACAATTTACCAAGGACAT